CTTCCTTCCTTCCTTGCTTCCTTCCTCACTCCCTTCCTTCCTCACTCCCTTCCTTCCTTCCTTCCTTCCTCCCTTCACAAATCCATAGGTTATTAAGGTACTTCATTCCGACACATATTCATCCCAGTACCACTATATACTGTTTCGCTACCCTGGAACATATCAACTTAATTCATATGGTAAGAAAAACATGTCCCACTCTGCGTGAGAGAGAGAGACCCCATAGTCACAAACGCTACAATCTGTTTTGCTAATTAATCATGCACATCATAATTATTATTTTCTAGAGGGAAAAAAAAGATTTCTAAGGTCAAGAATTACCAGCGCCAGCGAGCCCGTTGTGCCCGCGGACATTTGTGCCTGTCATGCGCGCGCGCCCGCGCCAGTGACGCCTGTTCATTACTGTTGTTATTGGTCGGCCATCTTGCGACTACGTTTCATTATTAAAGCTTGTTCATTCGTTTACGTCGTTCGTCGTGTTTACTGGCGCAGAAGAATGAAGAAAAAGACGTTTCTTTAAAAAAATAAACAAAAAAATTTACATATAGGAAGGTTGAATATTGATTAGCACTTGATTGTATGATTGAACCCCTTAGTTTAATGAAAAAATATAACATTACAGAATTTCATTAGAAAACGTCTAATGGTTTTTACCTAGCGGCGTCATTCCTTCGACTGGTCGTACGATGTCTGAGCAACGCCGTTTTTCAATCGTCAACTAACCTGTTATTAAARCCATACACTTATTTAGGTAAGCCAGTATTTTTTCTTATTCTACGTGAACGTCTTCTAACACTTTGCTTTGCTTGTTGTAGACTTATTTTTAATACCTAATACAATATCTCGAGCATAAGATAGTGTTAATTATCCCATTATCGATGCAAAGACATTGCAAATAATATTTTCCGTTTACGAAGCTAAACGACTTGAATTTCTTTAAAAAAAATAATTTTAGATGTTAGCGCAAACTGAATGCATTTTTAAGGGTATTTTTCGACGTATTTAAAGTCGTATAAATACTACTTAGCTTCAAATATAATCCTTAACGATTTTAAACTGGGCTATACAATTGCTGAGCCGTTATGGCTTAATTTATCTTTCTGTGCCATTTAAAAATATAAACCTTTTTATGCAACAAATTATTGCCAGGACCACACGAAAAATTCTCTTTTCTCTATTTGTAAAAATAAATTTGAGACGTTTTTATTTTGTCTCAAAAAATGTATAAATTAGTTTTAGAAAATTTATTATAGGAAATATAATTATTTCCAAATTTATTTTTTAGCTTTGTTTCTTGAAAACTATTAATAAGATATATTCTTTATTGCGTCAAAAAATACTAATTTATTAGCATAAAAACATAGTTATTTGGTATGAAGACTAGTTAGACAACGTATCTATTTGTCTAAAAATCAAGCAGTTTTTTAAATGTACTTTTTTTGCAGAGTGATATATAATTATCAAGTTCTTGGCAAATATGCTTATTCTCTGAACAAAAACAAAAACTACAATACAACACTTCTAATTTTTTTCCTTTGTCTTAGTAATCTTTTTAATCTCTCTAGATCTCTTCCTGACGATCCGGTAGTATGCCAATTCTTTGAACAAAAACAAACAATCGATCAAAATAAGATTATTTTTCTTTAAAAGTACTAATTCAAAAAAGTTAGCAATTATTTTGATACCGCATTACAATGATTAAAAATCATAATATATACTAGCAAAAAAGTTCGCAACTTTATCAAGATGATTTTAACTTACGTAACAACAAAATGGCTTCCCCAGACAAAAAACCCGATAGGATAAATATGTGTCTTACTGCAATCCAATTGGTTCACTGAGGAAGCCATTTAAATGAATTTCACAACAGCAAAATGGCTTCCCACGTCAAAATCTTCTAGTAAGTCATTTGTGGGAATCCAATCGTATTACAAAGAAACCAATCAACTGAGATTTCAGTGATACACATTGTGAAGTAGGGGCTAGAATCTCTTTCTCATTGTTATACGGAACTCAAATAAGTAAGTTTATTAGCCGGGGTRCGTAATTTCAAGATGGCGACAATGGAATGAATGCGAGAAATATAAATTCCATTGAGAAAAGTGTGATTTTATTTAGTATTAATTTCATGTTAACCTCGCATTCAAGACAATTTTAAGAAGGGTCTTCAAGTCGCCTAAAACAATCCCTCACATACAATGCTGTGCCAACTCCTTGTTATAAGTTAAAACATCAATTATCACGAGACAGTATATAACCGGTCATAATCCAAGTACTTATAACACTACGTATCAAGACCGGCAATTTAGTATGCCGAAAAATTTCTAAACAGATTCATTTATAGTGGTCATTAATTGCAGTTCGAGTAATTGTGCTAAATTATAACGAGAGTCTTTTAGAAGCCAAAACCAGGTTAAACCCAATCTCGTACCCAGAGCCTGCGTTTCTTCTGGCCTGCGGCGAAGAACAAGGGCTCTGGCATAATCCATATTTTGGCGCATGCGCAATTTTCGGAAAGTAAAATATAAACGGTCAAAATAAGCAAAGTAAAAACTGAATCGAGGTCAAAATCAAAGTAAAAATCATAGTACAAATTAAAAATCGGGGGAAATTTTTAAAAATTTTTTTGGCAAGTTTTTGAACGCGTGCGCTGTTATACCGAAGGTCCAAGAAATACTGGTCTTAAAAAATTGATTATGCCAGAGCCCTCGTTCTTCAACGCAGGCTAGAAGAAACGCAGACTCTGGGTACGAGATTGGGTTAAACCAACATGTTTTACCTATTGTTACCAACACATCTATTTTTGGATAAATACAGAATACCTTTTTTCAAGTTACTATTGACTTTATTTACTTAATTTCTAATCTTATAATGACATATTGTTCTGAGTTGTGAAACGCATTGAAAAGAAGGGAAGAAATAATTGAAATTATTTGGCTCAGCAGGTTATGCAGTTTTAAATTATAAAAAAACTTCAATTTAAGATTACTTCCGCCTTTATAAGAGGCATACTTCATAACAAACAACACACAGAAAGTTTCGTAATATCAAAAGAAAAAAAATTAGGCGACTTGGCAAGAATTGTAGAGTTTGATTTATTATCTGTCATCATTATAAAGATTCTTAAGAGAGCCAAATTTTTTTAATTGAATGAAAAAAGGCACTTCGTTTGTGGAGTTCATCAGCCAGTTAATGTTAGGCAAGTGAAAGTTTTTTTTGTCGTTGTTGGCATTCGAACAAAACGGATAACATCTTAGGGGTTTTTGGAATAGAAAAGCGTTGAAAACTCAAGCTAAAAATTCATTGAAATTAAACAGAAAATTAACAATATTTTCGAGATTTCTGATCCATCTTTTTCTTATTTTTGGTACTTGAAGTTGGAAGTGTTTCAAATTTTTTGAGAAATAGAGAGAGAGGGAAAGAGAAGGGAAAGAAAGGGAGGGAGAGAGAGAGAGAGAAAGAGAGGGAGGGAGAGAGGGTGAGATTAAGATTAACAGATTATATATTAGAGACAGAAGTGCAGATATAAATATATTCGTATAGACAGAAGAAGTAAGAAGATAAATGCCTAAAAACTACCAAAAATGGTGAAAGAAAATCAAAATAATGAAATATATTTTAGCAAAAAGTCAAGGAAAAGAAAAGGATAATAGCGAAAGAGAAGGAAGAGCGAAAAATGTTAATATGAATGACATAAAACGTGTTACGAATGTATAAGTGTGATTAACTTAAAAATAAATGAGTTTGGAGCATATTTTAGCATTGGATATTAAGAATGATGAAAAACTCCAAATGAAACGCTTTTCAGTGCTGACGCCTTCGACATTTGTCAACTCAAGCACTTATCAGCGATAGCAATATTACATATGTACACAAATTTCTTCATTTGGTTTCATTCTTACCTAAATACATATAAGCCTATCATCTGTATTCTACATTATTACTTATAAGCCGAACCAAACAACGGAAAGAAATTGGTCTTGATTAAACACTGTGTTCGTTTTCTACATTTTATAGTTTTTCCCCGCTACACAAAGAGCAAACTAAGTAAGTGAAGGTAAGTATGATCTATGTATTTGTTAGATTATATATCTAATCAAATTTTAGTTATTGACAAGAAAAAAGCAAACTTAATCAGCTGAAAATTTTCAACATTTTGCCAAAATTTCTTCCGATCATTTCCTGTGGATTATATCCATACCATAATTAGCAGCAACGAGCGAGCGAGCCAATTAGAAGATTCAGTTCTTTTCAACGGCAACCAGCTCCTAGAGCTCACGGCTTTTTTCGTAAAAAAATTCTTCATTGATCTAAAATACAAAATACTTATAGCTCTTCCTTTCGATCTATGTACTCGATTCGGCGGGCCTTAACTTTATGAGACAATGTGTTCATTATTGAACAAGTATTATACTTGTTCCGAATAAACACATTTAATAAATATTTTTCTCTGTAGCCTACTGATATTAGGTAGGGAAAAAATCCACTATGAACAAGTAAAAAAAAAATTGTTTTTCTAACTACAAGAAAGGTGGTGCCCCATAGATTTCTAAAGAGATTGTCCGGCGGAGCCTAGGGACCGTTTAATTCTTACGGGCATGTGTGTGTATATATATTTTTTCTATAGCTAATTATTTTTGAAAGAATATAAATAATTTTCTATATAGCTAATTATTATTGAAAGAAAGAAAGAAAGAAAGAAAGAAAGAAAGAAAGAAAGAAAGAAAGAA